ATATCATTGTATACGAAAAACAATTCTGAGCAGAGACGGTTTGTCTAAGATATATTATAGATTATTAAAAATTTTCAAATCTTAGATTTAAAAAGAAATATTTTTATAAATTTCTAGCTTAAAAAGTTTGCCAATTTCTTTTTAATTTAGGAGCCTTGTATTAAAGTATCAAGCTTTTCTACCCAGCAAATAAATTGTTATCAATATTAATTTAAAAAAAACTAATAATAATCGAAAATTGCATATGCCTATATATAGTTCCACTTATGTCGAAATTTTTTGAAAATTGCATGGTGGATAGAATATACTTCGGTGAAAATTTCATGTATCTAGGGTCATTTGTTTTAAAGTTACATCAAAAACCAAAATCTATTACCTGTGATWACATGTACAAAACTGAWTGTGCCTAAAATTTCCCGTTTTTCCCTAAACTTTTAGTTTGTTTATCACGATTRTTTAGAAAAATATTGAGAAAATTACTAACCTAACCTAACCTAACCTTTGACCCTCCAAAGTACCAATTAGATTCACATTCTGATCGAACGAGGTACTGAAGAAAATCGAAGCACTTTTACTGCCCCAAAACATGATGACGGACACAATAAAAGGAAATCACACATCATGGTAAAATCAATACATTCCTCGCTCCGCTCAGAATCTAATAGCTGATGAGGTATCTCAAAAACAATTAAACCGGATTGGATCTGATACCCGAATCAATAAATCCATCCAAAATCTAAACCAATGGATTGATCCGAAATACGGAATCCAATAATTGTAATACGTAATCTGGATTGGTCAAAATAATGCTCAGCACTTGAATTGATATATAAAATAAACCAAAATGTAAAKAATGTTTTTTTTTAAACACTTATGTAGTACATTCCAAAAGAGAATACCTAGACCGCCTACTGGTTTTCATCTGRTACTAAGCGTATTCCAGGATATAACACCCGGTGTTGCCCGGCAACAATAATAAGTCAGATAAGTTCATACAATTGTACTGATGTGTTTTGGAAAGGTTGGCATTGTATAACAAAAAATTATTAGATATTAATGCTGATGTAGCTTAAGTGGTATTACACAAAAGTGGGAATTTTCTTTGGAAATGGAATATACGTATAAATTATTTACAAGGTAACATATAAGATTTATTATTGAATGAGAAAGTAGATTATTTTGTTTCTAAACTTATAAAATTAGATAAAATATTGAGATATCTAAATATAACCTTGAAAATAATAYATAATATCTTAAGAACAAAAAAATCTTTTAAAATATTATGTTCTATTATGTTTGAAATATAAAAAACTAAATAAATACCAATTTTAGAATTGTCTGCAACTTTTGTAACAATTTTTTCTTTAACAATATTAGGAGTATCTTGATTTTCTAAAACATTAAAAATTTAGTAAATTTAATTACCCAACTAGTTAACAATAATAAATATTTATAAGCATTCGTTTTACTTTTGAATTCTGTTGTGTAATTGTGTAAATCTTTTGATAATCGCCATGAATGGATGGAGTGATCAGCAGAGCCAGTAAATACTATATCAGCATCACAAGGTGAGAATATTCCACACAATACAGTAGATAAATGTTTTGAATAAACTCCAATAAGTGTACATTTTTCTACATTCCATACCTGAAATGACAAAATAATACTAAAGATACCAACATGTTAATTTAACATTTAATTTAGTATGTTATTTGTGATAAATACATTTAATAACAATAATATATAAAAACAGTAAAACCAAATATTATAAATAAATAAAATACAATTTTATAGTTAAATGTTTGCTTGTTGAAAATTGAAATAATTTCTGTGTACTTTGAATACATTTTAT